CACAGTTTTTCTTGTCCTTATTTCTTCATTCTACCAAGATGTCATACAACTGTCCCTTGGTGCTACTATGTAGTTTCCTTATTGTGCGCTTCTGTTAATGTTTCCTTAGACAGTAACAACTTGGCACTTTGGTACCAACAAGAGCAAGTACAGACCTAGCCAGTTTGGCTCAGTGGATAGAGCAACGGCCTGCGGACTGAAGGGTCCCTGGTTCCATTCTTGACAAGGACACATGCATGGGTTTTGAGGCTTGGTCCCAAGTAGGGGATGTGCAAGAGGCAGCCAATAAATGATTCTCAGTCATCATGGATGTTTCTATCCCTCTCCCTTCCTCTCTGAAATCAATAAAAATATATTTTAAAAAATAAATTTAAAAAAATAAACTTTGGGGGGGGGGGGAAAGCAAGTTTAAATGGACCCATGGTATTGAAATTATGTTTAAAAGAATATACATATGGAAAAAAAAAGAATATACATATGATCTAGACCTGTCCAATATAGCAGCCACTAGCCACATGTGGCTATTGAGCATTTGAAATGTGACTAGTCCAAATTAAGCTATAGATTTAAAATATCTTCACAAAGCCCTAGCCAGTTTGGCTTAGTGGATAGAGTGTTGGCCTGTGGACTGACAGGTCCAAGGTTTGATTCTGATCAAGGGCATGTACCTTGGTTGCAGGCACATCCCTAGTAGGGGATGTGCAGGAGGCAGCTGATTGATGTTTCTCAATGCTTCTAACTATCCTTTTCCCTTCCTCTCTTTAAAAATCAATAAAATATATTTTAAAATAAAATAAAATACCCTCACATCATACTTTGATGACTTAGAATGAAAAAAAAGTTAAATATCTTATCAAAATTTTAAAAACTGATTCCTTCTTAAAAATCACATTATTTTCACTGAAACCGGTTTGGCTCAGTGGATAGAGTGTCGGTCTGTGGACTGAAAGGTCCTAGGTTCGATTCCAGTCAAGGGCATGTACATTGGTTGCGGGCATATCCCCAGTGGGGGGTGTGCAGGAGGTGGCTGATCGATGTTTCTCTCTCATCGACGTTTCTGGCTCTCTATCCCTCTCCCTTCCTCACTGAAAAAAATAAATAAAATATATATTTTAAAAATCACATTATTATTTTTTAATAAATTTTATTGTTCATATTATTACAAATGTTTCTCTCCCCCCTCCATTGCTCTCCTCCACCAGGTTCCCACCCCACCCTCTGCCCTTTCCCCACCCCACATTGTCCTCATTCATAGTTGCACAGTTTATGTTCAGTCTCTTCCCACATCCCCCTAAAAACCTCATTATTTTGGATATGTTTGAGTTAAATAAAATATATTATCAGGATTAATTTCACCTGGGATTTTGCTTGTGTTTATTTTTGCTTTTTAAATATATATATATATATATATATATATATATATATATATATATATATATCGACCCATGCACCAGGAAGTCCCGGTTTGATTCCTGGTCAAGGCAATTGCCCAGGTTTGTGGGCTCGATCCCCAGTAGGGGATGCCATTGATGATTCTCTCTCGTTATTGATGTTTCTATCTCTCTCCCCCTCTCCCTACCTCTCTCTAAAATCAATAAAAACATATTTTAAAAAATTCTCATAGAAAAAACATATGCATCCAAGATGCATAAATTTAGTTTTCAGTGTAAACCAATGCTCTAGCATTTAATGGCTACATTTTTTTATATATGTATTTTTATTTTTTTATTTTTAATTTTTTAAATATATTTTATTGATTTTTTTACAGTTAAGAAGGGAGTAGAATAGAGAGTTAGAAACATCGACGAGAGAGAATCATCAATTAGCTGCCTCTTGCACACTCCCTACTGAGGATGTGCCCACAACCAATGTACATGCCCTTGACTGGAATTGAATCCGGGACCTTTCAGTCCACAGGCCAACGCTCTCTCCACTGAGCCAAACTGGTTTCGGCTATGTATTTTTATTTTAAAAATATGTCTTTATTGACTTCAGAGAAGAAGAGAGAGAAAGAAACATCAAAGATGGCAGAGAATCTGATTGGCTACCTCCTGCATGCCCCCTACTGGGGATCAAGCCCACAACCTGGGCTTGTGCCCTTAACTGGAATCGAACCCAGGACCCTTCAGTCCACAGGCTGACGTTCTATCCACTGAGCCAAACAAGCCAGGGCTACATTCTTTCTTATAGGCCAAGGGTACAGAACCAACATAGGACTTTCCTGTGGCTCTCACTCCAGTATCCTAGTGTTATAATATCTCTGTGGTTTTTCCACATGGCTGCTTGTAAAAGTGTTTGGGAAAGTATGGAGGCACTTCCTTCTCTCCCAGAAAATATAAATATGCACTTCTATATCTGGTTATTTCACTGCCATTTGATGACAGATTGTTCTCATCTGGGAAATCCCAAGGTAGATAAAGGCAGAGCAATTCCCGAGCTACACAAGCTTCTGAAATTAAGGGACTGATTAGTTTAAAACAATTGTTCTAAAATAATATTTAGCCAAATATGCAATTGCATTCATTTAACAAATACCTGGTATTTGCTGAATATACACCCTGATAAAAGGTCCCACAGTAGGCACCTGTAAGGACTGTACAAAGATAAACAGTAGGGATTTGCTTTCAGGAAGCTGGCCAGCTAATAGAGGTGATAAGACATGTCAAACCCTGGCCAATGTGGCTCACTTCTTTTGGGTGTTTGTCTCATATACTGAAAGGTTGCTGGTTCAAATCCTGGCAGGGCACATGCCTGAGTTATGGGCTTGATCTCTTCAATGCTTCTCTCCCTCTCCCTTCCTCTCTCTTGAAAAAATTCAATCAGCCAGTGTGGCTTAGTACTGAGCTTCAATCCAGGAACCAAGAGGTCACTGGTTTGATTCCTGATCAGGACATATGTCCAACTTGACAGCTGGATTCCCAGTGGGGGGCATGCAGGAGGCAGCCCATAATGATGCTTCTCTATTCTCAATGTTTCTATCTCTCTCCCTTCCTTTTTCTCAAAAATCAATAATCACTGGCTAATTTGACTCAGTAGTTAGAGCGTGGGCATGCATATGAAAGGATCTTGGATTCAATTCCTGGTCAAGGGCATATATCTCGTTGCAGGCTTGATCCAACCTGATTGAGTTTCAACAGGAGGTGACCAATCGATGTGTTTCTATCTCTTCCCACATGCTCTTCCCTCCCTTCCATTCTCTCTAAAGAAATCAATGAAGAAAATAACCTCAGGTGAGGATTTAAATAAATTAATTAAATTAAATGAAAAAAATCAATGCAAACATTTAAAACAATCAATTAAAAATTTTCTTCCCTGTTAAATAGCAAATGTTGATTGAGTGTATCTATGTTCTAAGAACTGAATTCTTCCCCCTCATTTAATCCTCACAACCCTATGAGTTTGCCCCCAATTTTACTGATGAGAAAACTGAAGTAAAAGGTCACATGGTTTTGTTTTTAAAAATATATATATTTTATTGTTTTTTTTACAGAGAGAAAGGGAGAGGGATAGAGGGATAAACATCCTACCAGGGATGTGCCCACAACCAATGTACATGCCCTTTGACCAGAATGGAACCTGGGACCTTTCAGTCCGCAGACCGTCGCTCTATCCACTGAACCAAAACAGTTTTGGCAAGGTCACATGGTTTTTAAGTAGCACTAGCAGGGTTCAGCCCAGACTGTCACCTCCCAAACATGAGCTTTTTGGTCACTATTCTATCTTGCTTCTTTTTTTTAAAAAAGGAAAGTTAAAAAATAATATAAGTATTTGCTTACTAGAATAAAGTTGGAAATTTAAAAAAGTAGAAGAGAACATAAACTACAAAGGACAGGAAGGCAATTCACATGTTAAAAAAAGCAACTATTTGGTAAATAATTGTTTGCTGAGACATCTTTAACAATGGGATATAGAAAGGAAGTTGATTAGAGAGCCTTGATAGGTTCTTTCCTGTCTGTCAGACTTAATTCATATTAACCTATAGTTATATATGACAATAGGTCCCTTTCTGGAGCAGGTTCTCCCAAAAATTTTTTAGGGGCAGTTAGGAGTAAGGTTAAAGGTTCTTTCTGAGTCTTCTGTTCCTCGAAAATAACCAGCTTAAAATGATCAATATCTCAAAAGGCATAATTTGGGGCCAGTGTTGACATGTTCTAGTCACATTATTCATAATAGTGAAAATGTGGAAATGGAAATATCCACCAACAGATGAATGGATAAACAAAGTAAGGTATATTCATGCAATGGAATATTACTCATCTGTAAAGAGGAATGAAATACTGGCACGTACTACAACATAAAGATGCATCTTGGAAACATCGAGTTAAATGGAAGAAGCCAGTTATAAAAAGAGCACATGATTCCATTTATATCACAGGTCCTGATTAGGCAAATGTATATAGTTGCAGCCAGGGCTTGAGACTAACGGGTACGGGTTTCTTCATGCGGTGACAAAAATATTCTAGAATAGTGTGGATGGTTGCACAGCTCCCTGAATATATTTTAAAAGAGTGACTTTTATGCTCTATGCATTATTCCTCAATAAAATGAAAACTTTTAGAGGCCCCCACGCTATCTAGGGAACTTAAACCAACAGCAACAAGCTGGGCCAAACACAAGGCCAGCGGAACCAGGACCGCAATGTGACCACGCCTCCCAGGAAAGGAAGTCCTGGCTTGGGGGCTGGTGATTGGGTGATCTGCAAAGAGGGCGGGGCCCTGGGCCGCTCGGCTCGGGGGCGGGGCGGGACAGGGAGCAGGCTTTTCTCGCGAGATTATGCTGGTTCCGCATTTCCTCTCCGCTAGGTGGGGGCAGCTGGTGAGGTGGGCACCGCGGCTCGTACCCGCTGACACCGGCCCGACCCCGGCTCGCAGCAGCGGCTGCCAGTCCTTCCGCTGTCGGCGGACTGAGGCCTCTCTGCTACCTCTCAGCTCCCGAGCGAGCTCCGAGCCCCGCCTGCGACAGGGGCCCGCGGCCCCTCCCCTCCCCTCTGAGGACAGAAGATGAGCTTCCTCTTGTGAGTGTGGCCGGGCCGAGGGTCCGGGGCGGAGGGCGGAGGGCGGCGGAGGGCGGAGGGGGCGCCTGAAGTGGGGGCCGGCCCTGGGGTCCGGGTGGTGGGCGCTTGGTTTGCTCCGGTTTGGGGTCCCGGGAGAGGCTAGGAGGACGTGGGCCGAGGCAGGCGGAGATGAAAAGTCGACGCAGAGGAAGCGGAGCGGAGAGACTTGGGGAGTAGAAAGGCCCCGGGGCCGTAGCGCCTCCAAACTTTTCCGCCCGAGCGGCCCTGAGGGCGAGGGGGCGACCCGGGGGCGGAGCCCGGGCCCCCCTCCGCATCCTCCCACGGGCTCCCAGTTTCTCTCCAGCCTGGAGCCTTCTCCTGAGGATCCTTGCTGACTTAGCCTTTTACTCCAGCGTTTACATTACCGTCAGTGTTGGGTTACCCCGAGGAAAACGGGGGGTGAGTGCTGCGGAGAGAGCAGCCTTGCGCTACAGCATCTTGTTTATTCCTCTCAGGTGGCTCCCTCTAACGTAGTACATTGCTTACATGTGTGTTGTCTGAAGGAATAAATACCCATTTTTTGGTTTCAGACATGACCCACATACTTGACGTTTGTATTTATTTTATTATTCTTTTTAAAATATATTTTATTAATTTTTTCACAGAGGGGAAGGAAAAGGGATAAGAGAGCTTAGAAACATCGATGAGAGAGAAACATCGATCAGCCGCCTCCTGCACACCCCCCACTGGGGATGTGCCCGCAACCAACGTACATGCCCTTGACCGGAATCGAACCTGGGGCCTTTCAGTCCACAGACGGACGCTCTATCCACTGAGCCAAACCGGTTTCAGCTTGATATTTTTATTAAAATTCAAAACTGCATGGTGTTTCATAACCAGCGGTAATCTAGCTCCTTACCGCCAGAAATTTGGATTCATTTCGCTATTTATAAAATAGGACGACTGAGAATACCTTAGTCCGGATCGCTTTCCCCTCTTGATTATTTTGTTAAGAGTCTAGTCGTCAAAGTATGATTGTCAGGTCAAGAAGTCTGTATGATTTAGATTTTAATGGCAGATTTCTGTATCGCTAGAACACTCTCTTCCATCCCTCCTCCCCTAGGTCTCTTTCACGTGAGTTAATGTTTATTTAGTGGTTTGTTTGTGTGTGCACGTTGCTTAGTTGCTTTTGGATGTAAATGTGAGGCTCTGTATTTCTTCTGAACTTTGTTTTGTTGATGGATATTTGGGTTTCCACCTTTTGGGTTTTATGAATAATGCTATGAACTTTTACGTGCTGTACACATTTTTGTATCTGTGTGTTCATTTCTCCTGGGTATTATACCTGAGCCAGGAATGAGCTACATGGCAATTATGTTTAATCTTTTGGGTAACTGCCAAACTTTTTCAAAGCACTGCACCATTTTGCGTTTCCAACAGTGACGTATGAGTCTCATTTTCCCCACTCTCGCTAGTACTGGTCTTTTTTTTTTTTTTTTTTTTTTTAATAACCACTCTAAGTGGGTGTGAAATGTGATTTTAATTTGCATTTCCCTAATGACTAAGAAGGTTCAGCATCCTTTCCTGTGCTTATTGACCATTTGTATATTTTTGTTTGGAGAAATGTCTATTCAAATCTTCTGACCATTTTTTTAAAAATTAGTTTTATTATAGTTGACAACTGTTGGCCATTTTTTAAAATTGGGTTCTCTTTTAGTTGTTGAGTTGTAAGAATTCTTTATCTTTGATACAAGTCACTTATCACATCTATGATTTGCAGGTATTTTCTCCCATTTTGTGGATTCTTTTCACTATCTTGGGTGACATATGAATCACAATTTAGATGATGATAATATTTGAATATTGAGCCATCATTCTATGCCTTCCAAGTTTAGTTTTCTGTCATTCACAGCTTTCTAGATGTAAAAGGCAATTCCTTGTAATTTAGTACTTCCCTAATAAATATAGGTGTTTACCACGTTGAAAAACTTTCCATATTTGAATTTGTGTTTTTATAATTCATTTAACGTCTTTTTGTGTGTGTGTTTTAAAATCAATTTTACTTATTAATTTTATTTAAAATTCAAATTACTGGGGTAAAATGAAAGCCCACGGTTTATTCTTTTCTTCTTTGTAGAAGTAATTAATCACCACTATCAATTTGATTTGTATTCATTCCGTACATTTACAAAATGGGCGATACTACATTTACATGGAGTATTGCGTTGTTCTTAACTACAATGCTATACTCCATGGCACCCCGATGTGTCATAGTTTGTTTATTAAATCTTCTAATTAGCCTTGTTGTATCTCAGATCAGCGAGCTGGACAAGACACCTTAATCAGCCAATTAGTTAGGAATCATCTTTATTGAGCAGATTACCTCTGTCAAATTCTGAACAAACACAGGAGGGAGTATTTCCTTTTTATATCCTTTTAGTTCTTTGTGTAAGACAGCTTGTAACCTTGAATATATATCATATCTAACACCTGTCATATCTATATAGACAACTTGTAACTTTGAGTACACATATCTATATAGACACCTGTAATCTTGGATGAACAAACACTTGGCAGAATATGTGAATTAATATCGGTTATCAGTGTAACTTTAGATGGTAAGCTTGCAAGGTCAGACAGTTAAGTTTATCTTTTCTATTATTCAAGCTAAAAACAAAGTTGTATTTTATAGAATAAGATACTATCTAAAAATAGTGGAGTAGTTCAAACAGCAGTTTTAAATAACAGTTTTCCAAAGGAGGAATCACCATGCTTCAGCCTTAGGATTGTTTCCAGATTTTTCACTATTAAAAACAATCTTGGAAAACACATCCTTACATATCTATCTAAAAGAGATACTTAGTGGAAGGGATAGATTGAGGAACATTTCAGTGTTAACATATACAGTACTGCCATGTTACCCTCCCAAAAACACTTTGCCCTTTCACCAATGCTGTATTAAAGCACTAATTTCTCTATACCACACTTAAGGTAATTGTTTTTGCTTTTGACACTCAGTTTAAGGAAATATTTTAATTAAATAGTTTTTCAGATGTTCATTGGTCATCGTAGTTTTCCTTCTGAATCTGTCTCCTTAGCCCATTTCTCTAAAGGAACGGTTTCTTACCTTTTTCTTAACAGATTATGGAAGCCCATTATTAATCCAGTTTATCTTTTGTAATCCATATTGCAAGTACTCTTTTTTGGTTACTTGTCTTCTTGCTCTGTTACTGAAGTTTTAATTATTATAATTTGAAATTCATCCATTTAAGGTTTCTGGGTTTTTTGTGATATGTTAGGAAGACCTTCCTTTTTAAAAAAAAAAAAAAAAAAAAAAAAATATATATATATATATATATATATATATATATATATATATATATTTTTTTTTTTTTTTTTTTTATTGATTTTAAACCGAGAGGAAGGGGGAGAGAGGAAGGGAGAGAGATAGCTAGAAACATCGATGAGAATCATCGACCAGCTGCCTCTTGCACACCCCCTACTGGGGATATGCCCGCAACCAAGGTATATGTCCTTGACAGGAATCGAACCTGGGTCCCTTCAGTCCCCAAGCTGACGCTCTATCCATCGAGCCAAACCGGCTTCGGCGGGAAGACCTTCCTTGTGGATGGTGTGAGATAGGAATAAAAATGTATTTCCCCCCAATAACTAGTTTACTTTTACTTTTTCTGCTTAAAACTTCAAAAAATGTCTTGCTTCCACTATGGTTTACTTTGATGGCATCCCAAATATTTTGGTATAGAAACTGTTTTTTTGTTTTTGTTTGTTTGTTTTTTTAGCTATTAGAACCTTAGGGCTGTTTCCCTTGCAGCACCATTTCGGGTAGGTGGAAATTGAGGCCAAAAGAAGGTTAGGTTTCTTTCTTTCTTTCTTTCTTTTTTTTTTTATATATCTTATTTTTTACAGAGAGGAAGGGAGAGAGACAGAGCTAGAAACGTCGACGAGAGAGTAACATCGACCAGCTGCCTCTTGTACACCCCCTACCGGGGATGTGCCCGCAACCAAGGTACATGCCCTTGACCGGAATCGAACCCGGGACCTTTCACTCCACAGACTGACGCTCTACCACTGAGCCAAACCGGTTTTGGCAAGATTAGGTTTCTTAAGCACCCACAGAGATAGTGGCAGATCAAGGACTAGTATTCAGATTTTTTCTTTTTTTGTTCAAGTGCCCTTTCTATTACACCATACTGCTTCAGGAGGCATAGTTAAACTGCTTTCTGTGTGACATTGTGCTGCTAATACTGTTTCTACATGAGAAAAAAAAAATTAATTCATTCTTTTATTGTGATCATCACCCCCTACCCCCAAATCTGGGCACTTTTCAGGGATTGTTTTTTATTTATTTTACCGTTTATATTATGACATTAAAATTTGCTTCTTTCTAGTCCTAAAAATGTATATACTTTTTCTTTTAACCTAACAGCAGCAGCCGCTCTTCTAAAACATTCAAACCAAAGAAAAATATCCCTGAAGGGTCTCATCAATATGAACTCTTAAAACATGCAGAAGCAACTCTAGGAAGTGGGAATCTGAGACAAGCTGTTATGTTGCCAGAGGGAGAGGATCTCAATGAATGGATTGCTGTTAACAGTAAGTTTTTAATAACATTCTACTTTGCTGGTTTATAGGAATGCTTTGCTAAAATATTTTTGTTAATGAGTTTTATTTTACAGCTATGTGTAGGTTGTAATATAATAGGTTATCTGTAAAGAAACACATAAATACATATAGAATAAAAGAGTAATATGCAAATTAATCATCACTCTGCTATACCCACCAGCCAATCAGAGTGAGTATGCAAATAAACCCAACCAAGATGGCTACAGCCACAGAGAGCAGTAGAGAGGTTTGGGTTTTCCCAGCAACAGAGGAAGCCAAGCTTTCTGCCTGCCCTTGCTGGCCTAGGCCTCCACTCGAGGCTACAAAGTTTCAATTATAGAAGGTAAACAAATCCAAACAGAAATGGCTGCAGGCCACTGAGCGAGCAGGAGGTTTGGCTCCACTCCAGACTACAAAGTTTCAATTGTAGAAGGTAAGTAAATTCCAGGTACCAGGGCCTCCCCTTGGGTTGCCAGAGGAAGTGACCGGCCTGCAAACCACCACAGGCCCCTTGCCCAGGCTGCCCCATGCCCCAAGGAAAGCCCCACTCTGATCCAGGACACCCTTCAGGGCAAACCAGCTGGCCCCCATCTGTGCACCAGGCCTCTATCCTATCTAATAAAATAGTAATATGCAGATTGACCATCACTCCAACACACAAGATGGCTGCCCCCATGTGGTCAAAGATCCTGCCCCCATGTGGACACAAGATGGTCACCACAGGATGGCCAGCAGGGGAGGGCAGTTGGAAGGGATCAGACCTGCAAGGGAGGGCAGTTGGAGGAGATCAACCCTGCAGGGGAGGACAGTTAGGGGTGACCAGGCCGGCAGAGGAGGGAAGTTGGGGGCAGAAAGGCTGTCAGGGCAGCAGTTATACATCAATCAGGCTGGCAGGGGAGTGGTTAGGAGGTGATCCAGCCGGCAGGCAAAGCTGTTAGGGGCAATCAGGAAGGCAGGCAGACAGGCGAGCAGTTGGGAGCCAGCAGTCCTGGATTATGAGAGGGATGTTCAACTGCTGGTCTAAACAGGCAGTTGGACATCCCTCGAGGGGTCCCAGATTGGAGAGGGTGCAGGCTGGGCTGAGGGACACACCCACCACCACCCCCATCCCCGGGCCTCTAGTAAATTCATATAAATTAAAAACTGTAGTGTTCTCTTCAGAGTACTTGGTTGTAGCTTTTGTGGTTGAGAAAAGAGACCTAAGAAGGAATGATGAGTGCTTGGGAGAATGCAGTTGAGTTAACTTAAGTAAAAGATCGATAAATGCAAAGATTCTACTTGTGGTGGACCGTGACTTTGTAGGGAATCCCATCTGTATAATTGTGTTCCCAATCCTAGCAGCTCTAATTTGCCTACTATGTACACAGAAAAGCCAATTGCTATTTAAAGCTTTTATCACTTATTTGTTGTGGCTTGAGTAGTCATAGGAAATTGAGAGTTTGGGGGAAAATGATGGAATCTATAAGCTGAAAGTCACTCTTGGAATTCAAGAAAGTGAGGGCATGACATGGAAGATTATGCTGAGACTAGAGATTTGAATATTAAGGTTATATCACTTCTGAGATAAGATCAGCTTTGGGTGATAAGCTTTAAGTCTATTAAAAATTTCCGATGTTGCCAAAGCCGATTTGGCTCAGTGGTAGTGCGTCGGTCTGCGGACTGAAAGGTCCCAGGTTCGATTCCGGTCAAGGGCATGTACATTGGTTGCGGGCACATCCCCAGTAGGGGGTGTGCAAGAGGCAGCTGGTCGATGTTTCTCTCTCATCGACGTTTCTAGCTCTCTCTCTCCCTTCTTCTCTGTAAAAAATCAATAAAATATATTTTAAAAAATTTTCCGATGTTTTAGGAATTTGGGAACACAACTATACAGATAGATTCCCTTGTGCTCAGTGGTTGAGTATCAACCTATGAACCAGGAGGTCATGGTTTAATTCCTGGGCAGGGATTGGGAACACAACTATATAGATGGGTTCCCTGTGTTCAGTGGTTGGGTGTCAACCTATGAACTAGGAGGTCATGGTTCAATTCCTGGTCAGGGTACATGCTCTGGTTGTGCGTTTGATCCCCAATGTGGGGTGTGCAGGAGATAGCTAGCTGATCAGTGATTCTCATCATTGATGTTTCTATCTTTCTTTCTCCCTTTCTCCCTGAAATCAATAAAAATATATTAAAAATAAATAAATTATTTAATGGAAAATTTCAAACATACAAAAGTAGAGAAACTAGCACAGTGAATTCCCGGGTAACCATTATCCAGCTTTAACAATGATCAGATCATGGCCAATTCATGACTCTTCTGTGTATCTCACCGTGATTATTTTGAAGTAAATCCCAGACATATTATTTCATCTATAAAGATTTCAATATCTCTAAAAGACAACTCTCTTTTTAAAGATAATGACAGTACCACCATTCCTTTATGGTATCAAATATGCAATCAGTGTTCACATTTCTATTGATTGTCCTATAAATGTTTCTTTAAAAAAAAAAGTATGATTGGGCCCTGGCCAGTGTCACTCAGTTGGTTGGGTGTTATTCCATGTACCAAAAGTTTGCCAGTTCTATTCTTAGCCGCAGGTTGTGGGCTCAATTCCCAGTTGGGGGCATGCAGAAGGCCACTGATCAGTCTTTCTGTCCCCTCCCCTCCCCTCCCCTCCCCTCCCCTCCCCTCCCCTCCCCTCCCTTCCCCTCCCCTCTCTCTTCTCTCCTCTCTCTTCTCTCCTCTCACCTCCTCTTTCCCTCTCCCTCCCTTCCTCTCTTTTTAAAATCAATTTAAAAAATATATTTACAAAAAATGTGTAGCTGTCAGACCGAATGGTCCCAGAAAGGTATATACCTCAGTTGCAGGTTCCTCTCCAGCCTGAACCCCAGCCTAGTCCCTCTGCCTGGCCTGGCCTGATGTGTTTCTTTCACATCAATATTTCTCTCTGTCTTTTCCTCTCTCTCCCACTCTCTCTGAAAAATCAATGGAAAAATATCCTTGGGTGAGGATTAAAATAAATAAGTAAGTAAATAATAATAATAATAAAAAAAATGTATGGTTGGTCAGGATCCAGGAAGGCCTGTTGTTTTTCCTTCTTTTTTTAAATTTTAAAAATACATTTATTGGGGTGACATTAGTTAATAAAATTATATAGATATGTTTTACACTTTTATACACTTTTATGTGTATAAAAGTGTATATTGCATTGTGTACTCACCACCCAAAGTCAGATCTCCTTCTGAAACCATACATTTGACCCCTGGTGGTCATTGCCCATCATAGCTACCAGTCAGATGGTTACTTAGGCTTTTGTATCTGTATTCTATATGCATAAAAGGCTAATATGCGAAGTGTCCCCTCGGGAGTTTGACCAGGAGACTGGGAGTTTGCTCACTATGATGTGCATTGACCACCAGGGGGAGGTGTGGCATGAAGGAAAGTCCTGGCCAGTGGCTGGCAGCTGGGGAAGGAAGGCCCTGGCCAAGGAAGGCCCTGGCCCCTATTGGCGCTGATCGCTCGCCACGCCTAAGGACCCTACCCTTACATGACTTTTGTGCACTGGGCCTCTAGTATATAGATAGATGAGTGAAATCATATGGTTCTTGACTTTTTTCATCTGACTGACTTTGCTTAGCATGATATTCGCAAGATCCATCCATATTGTTGTAAATGGCAGTATTTCATCTTTTCTTCTGGCTGAGTAGTATTCCATTGTATATATGTACATGTTTCCCCTCTTTATAGTCTTTTCTCTTTTGCTGATTTGTTGTTCTTAAAGACATTAGTTCATTTGTTCTCCACAGTGTGAATTTTACTGATCATCCCAAGACACCAATTATGTTCTGTTCCTCCTTTTCTTTCCTGTAACTGTTAGATCTAGAGCAACACTGTCCAGTAGTACTTCCTGTGATGATGTAAGTGTTCTATATCTGCACTGTGGCCACTTGAAATGTGGCTAATGTGACTGAAACTGAATCTTAAATTTCACTTCATTTAATGTAAATGACTACCATGTTAGCACAGATTTGGAGCTTGGATTAGTCAGACTTGATTTTGTTTGTTTGTAAGAGTACTTCATAGATGCTAATTTTATCTAATAAAGAGGAAATATGCTAATTGATCCTCATGCTGTCGCAAAGATGTTGGCGCCCACAGACACAAGATGGCGGTGCCCAGTCCCCTGAGTCCCTCTGGGGTGGCAGGCATGGCAATGCTGGGCCCGTCCCACGCGCCTGCCTCCACAGTCCCCCAGTCCCATAACCCCCCAGCCGACCAAGGGTGGCCCTAGGCCCAGGCAAGCCTCAGATGGTGACTGCCCAGCCGCCCAGAGCCTGTCTGAGGTCAGGTAACCAGGGCCGGCCAAGGCTTGTGCTGCTGGCAGTGGCAGCAGCAGAGGTGTGGTGGGGCGTCGCCTTTCCCTGATCGCCAGATCACCTCCTGACCCTGAGGGCTTCCGGACTATGAGAGGGGGCATGCTGGGCTGAGGGACCCTTCCTCCAGTGCATGAATTTTCATGCACCGAGCCTCTATTGCTACTTTATGCTTTTAATGATATAGTGACTTCCATAGTGTTTAGTTGCCTTTATGTGGTATATTATTAATCAGCTGTTGATAACTGTTGTCTTGATCAGCACATCTGATAGAAATATAATGTAAGATCCAAATTTAATATAAAATTTCCTAATAGCCACATAAGAAAAATGTTGCTTTTTTTCAACTCTCTTAAAAAGCCATTATTTATATCATTAAGAGAAAAAAAAACAAGGTGCAGCCCTGGCCAGGTAGGTCAGTTGGTTAGAGCATCATTCTGAAATGCCAGGGTTGCGGGTTCAATCCCCAGTCAGGTCACATACAAGAATCAACCATTGAATGCATAAATAGGTGTTCCTCTCTCTCTCCCTTTTTTTTTTTTTTTCCTCTCTCTTTTTTAAAAAAAAAAAATATATATATATATATATTTTTTTTTACAGAGAGGAAGAGGGAGGGTTAGAGAGTTAGAAACATCGATAAGAGAGAAACAGCTGATCAGTTTGCACACCCTCCACTGGGGATGTGCCCGCAACCAAGGCACATCCCCTTGATCAGAATCGAACCTGCGACCTTTCAGTCCGCAGGTTGACGCTCTATCCACTGAGCCAAACCGGTTTCAGCAATTTCTCTTTTTTTTTTCTAATAACAAACTTCTCTCTGACAATAAACTAATTGCTAAAATTCTGTGGCAGAGCAAAAAGTTTATTTTTGCCTGACCAAAAAAAAAAAAAAAAAAAAAAAAGTATAATTTTGAGTCATTCACACCAGACAGCTATTGAGTTGACTATTGTCATTTTTTAATTTTATAATTTAAGGGAAAAAGAGGTCAGTGCCCCTGACTAGTCAGGTATTGCATGTTTTAAAATTTCTTGCAGCACACTGGTTTGAAAATTGCTGCTTTAGACTTATAAACTAAACTAGCATACCATCTGAGCATACTTTTGTATTGAATGAATATTGAGTGCCTAAGTATTGCTTTCTTAGAAACATGACTAAAAGTAAGGTTTGTAAGTGAGGGAGTTTTGTACAAACTTCCTTAAATATGTTTTTAAGAAACTTGAAAAAACCCAAGTGGATTTTTAGGTACTGCTTTAGACAGGGAAAGAAACCATTTTTAAAAAACTTGAGTGGTTTTAAGGCTTATGTGATTTGCTTTGTACAGAGGGTAATACGCTTCACTCAGTTGTTTCACTCTCCTTCCTGTTTCATTTTTTTTTTTCTTTGCAGATCTAGCTGAAGCTCCTTTACAAGTACTCCCTGACGACTTCAACTCTTTAATATATTACCTTTTCTCTGAACTCTCTCACTTATTGTTGGCCTTTGTATAACTAACTATCTTCTTATACATTGTATTATTCATCTCTTGTAATTTTGCCCCTTCTGGGAGAATTCAGGGTAAAGGACATTGTCCTGTGTATTTTTTTTTTTTTAATGTCTTCAATATGTATAGCCTCAATTTTTAAGAAATATATATTTTTATTTATTTCAGAGAGGAAGAGAGAGGGAGAGAGATGGAAACATCAATGATGAGAGAGAATTATTGATCGACTGCCTCCTGCATGGCTCCTCCTGGGGATCAAGCCCACAACCCTTGTGCCCTTGACTGAATCGAACCTGGGACCCTTCAGTCTTCAGGCCGATTCTCTTATCTACTTAGCCAAACCAGCTAGAGCTAGCCTCAAATTTGTTATGATGAATTGGACTTTTTTAATGACTGTTCATAACTGCCAATACACCTCCCTCACAGTGTATTTCATCACACTTTTCTGATGCAAATGATAATTGTCTGGTCCAGATGAATAGAAGCTATGTCTTTTTTCATTCCCTTGGATGTAATCAAATTGTATATTCTAATGATGTATAGTCACCATGAAGTTAGAATTATCTCTGATTTTTATTTTTCTGCTGTTACATGCTGGTTAAAAGCTTAGTATATTAAAAATGAATGTATATTAAAAGTTAACTTTACTTAGGTGTGACAACTTACAAAGGAAAGAGAATTTACAGTATCCTTGGATCATTGAATTTCCCAAGGATTCAGCCAAGAATTTGTCTACTTTTCTTTCATCTGAGAGATTTGATGGTGGTGTCTTTACATAGATATTTTAACACAATTCTGCTATTATATTTCTAGCTGTGGATTTCTTCAATCAGATCAACATGTTATATGGAACTATTACAGAATTCTGCACTGAAGCAAGCTGTCCAGTCATGTCTGCAGGTCCAAGGTACATATTACTGCATTTTATATAGGAGTACTAAGTAAAGGTAATCACTAGTTGATAGAAATTAAATAATGAAGACTTTTTTCTTATCTCTGTAAAGGCAGTTCGATTTTATGGATTCTTGAATACTTACCTATAAGTTTTTAGCTATTAAATACTTTGGCATTTGGTACTTAGTGCTTGATTTTGTGATTGCATTAAAGTAAGGAATTGTAAAAGAAAAAGAAATTTAGAACTCTGTTAACATTATGGTTGTTTTTTAAATTAGTTCTTAAAATCGAGTTTTTAGTTAACTTTTTAATATTTGATTCCTTTTTCTGTGCTTAGTGTTAATTACTTCCAACTGTGCTGTGTTAGTTATTTGGCTTAAAGATGCTAGATTTTTAAAAATTGACTATAATAAATTTCAAGAAATACTTAGAAAGAGATGGAACTCTGTTATCCGTATGGTGTCAAAGTTTGATGGTGTGTGATTTAGGTGTTTCCTTCTAGTCTTTTCTAGATAGTATGAATTTATGTCATGGTAGTTGGTGTCAAGGTATTTATTCACCTCTTGGGGGAAAAAAATTGTCTTTACTGAATTTTCTACAGGTGTAAAGGATAGATCCCCAGGCAGTTGGTAATCCTATCTTCTATACTAATAAAAGCCTAGGTGGTCATCAAGCCCTCACACTGTCACAGTCCATCACCAGGGTGGGCGGGGCTTGGCACCTTGTGTGCACCGTGGGGGTGGTTTCCGCCTGCACATACCTGTTGTGGAGGCGGGAACCCAGCTCCCGCCTACCTCTTTGGGGCAATCCATCTAGGAGCCCTGATGGGTGGGCGGGGCCTACCTCTTTGGGGCTATTGATCACAGGGCTTCTGCACTGTGAGAACGAACAGGCCAGGCTAGGGGACTCTCTCCCCCTCCCTGAGTGCACGAATTTTGTGTACTAGGCCACTATTTTTATTATGGTATTTTAGGAATATCTTTTAAAAATATTTTTTATTGACTTCAGAAAGAAAGGGAGAGGGAGAGAAAGATAGAAACATCAATGATGAGAGAGACTCATTGATTGGCTGCCTCCTGCCCGATTCCTACTGGGGATTGAGCCCACAACCCGAGCGTGTGACTTTGACCCAAATAAAATCTGGGACCCTTCAGTCCACAGGCTCTTATCCATTGAGCCAAACCAGCTAGTGCTAAGGATGTTTTTATTTTGTGTTGTTTTAAGTTTTAATTCTCAAGCTTCCTTAAAGAAATTTAAATAAGAAAATTAAACTATCTATGGCTTAAATACTTTATATAGTGAAGTTTCCTATAAGTCTTTTAACCATTCTAGTTAAGCACACCATCTGAGCATACTTTGTTCTGAATGAATATTGAGTGCCTAAGTATTGCTTTCTTAGAAACATGACTTACACCCTTTCCAAAAAACGGGGTTTTATAATGTTTTTTAAAAATGTTTTTATTGCCCTAATCAGTTTAGCTCAGTGGATAGAGTGTCGGCCTGGGGACTGACAGGTCCCAGGTTTGATTCTGATCAAGGGCTTGTGCCTTGGTGTGCAGGAGGCAGCTGATCAATGTTTCTCTCACAGTGATGTTTCTAACTCTATCCCTCTCTCTTCCACTCTGTAAAAAATCAATAAAAAATATTTTAAAAAATGTTTTTATTGATTTCAGAGAGGAAGGGATATGGAAAGAAAGATAAACATCAGTGATGAGAAAGAATCATCCATTAGCTGCCTCTTGCATCTACCCACTGGGGATCAAGTCCACAACCCAGGCATGTGCCCTGAATCAGCCATGACCTCCTGGTTCATAGGGCAACACTCAACCACTGAGCCATACTGGCTGGGTAGGGTTTTATGATCTTAACTCTATTGGTGATAACTTGGTGGCCAAGGAACTCAGAATGCGGTGATCCATCAGTCCCTTCCCCAGTCCTCACAGACAGAAATACAGTTCATTTATCTTTCCTAAGGCTATGCTAGAAAATATCCATTCTGGCACTGCCAGCTGTCACATTATCTTCTCTTTTTCTTCTAACTATAACCATCACTTTTCAAAATAATTCAATGGGAAGCTCCCAGTAATCTTAAATAGAAGTTTAGGTAATTTACTAAAGATAAGTTGACAAAATGTGAACCTACTTTGATTATAAGTTGCACATTTGTTAATGTGAAAACTATAAATAAAACCTTTCTCTCTTCAGATATGAATATCATTGGGCAGATGGTACTAATATTAAAAAGCCAATCAAATGTTCTGCACCAAAATACATTGACTATTTGATGACTTGGGTTCAGGACCAACTTGATGATGAAACCCTTTTTCCTTCTAAAATTGGTGAGTTAATGTTGTAGAACTGCTTTTCTTTTTAAATGATAAATGTGTGCTTTTTAACACTCTATTTTTTAAAAAAGTAACAGACTGTCAAAATTTATCTGCAAAAGATTATAAATGTATATTCCTTTCAGAGATGTTTGTGTCTGCCTGTGTTTCTTCACCAATACTGGTTGTTAGTCACTGAAAAAAAAAAATTTTCTAATTTAGGTAAATAAGTTAGTTTTAAGGTACATTTTTAAGCTATTGATGAGATTGAGCATTTTTTCTCGTATTGATCATTCTGTTTTCTCTTTATATTCTTTGTTCATTTATTTATATGTTAAGGATATTAGTTTTTTGTCATAAATGTTGTATGTATTTTTCCCTAGGTTGCCTTTTGTCTTACTGTGTTCATCAAGTGATTTGGCTATATATAACTTTATTTTGTCTTATTAATCTTTTCTTTAATGATATCTGGGTCTTAATCAATTAGAAAGGTTTTCCCTACTTCACTATTATAAAAATATTTATCCATGTTTTCATTTAATACTTTCATAATTTTGTTTTTACATTTAAATTTTTGTTCTGTCAGGAATTTTTTTCTCATTGTTTCCTTCATTTTTTCCTCACTTATAATGGTAGTCAGTTTGTCCAGTACTATTTATCAAATACATGTGTCTTTTCTTCCCTGATCATCAAATTGTCACATATTTTGGAGTCTTTTAATCTCTTTATCTGTTCCTGTAGAAATTCCATACTGTGTTAATTAAACATGGGCATATATCTTTGAGCATCTTATAGGGCTGGTCTCTCTTCCTTGCTCTTCTTTTTCAGAATATTCACGACTATTCTGGGATATTTGTTCTTCCAAAGAACTTAGAATCATTTTGTCAAGGTAAAAAAAAAAATATATCTTTGTGAGATTTTTATTATTTTATTCAATTTGTAGATTAATATAGGGATTCTTGTTCTCTTGACAATCCTGTACCTTCCTATCCTAGAATAAGATTTATTTCTTCATTTACCAGGTCTTTTATTTGCTATATCCTCTTATAAAATCCTATAGTTTATGCTAATCCTTCAAGTTTAAGTTTATTCCTAGGCATTTAATTTTTTAAAAATTAATATTTGGTTTCCATTGGTTAGTGTTTAGTATATCTGTTGATTTTTATATAAATTTTATCATTGACCACCAGATTTTGATTATTCCTGTTGTTTTGGGTTGTTTTTCTTGAGTTTTTAAAGTATACAATTACATCATACTAATGGTAATTTTGCCTCTTTCTGATAATGTATATTTCTTGGTAATTCTTACCTAATTGTACTTACCAACTAGTACTTCCAGAACAGTGCTGATTAATGGTGATGATGGCAGACATCCTTTTCTTGTTTCCTTTTATGAGTGTGTCTAGTATTTTAGCATTAAGCAAGAATCTTGCTTTTGGTTACAGGTGTGTGATTGTGTTGCTAATGACCATCAGATTTTCTCCATTTTTTTTGTAATGTCCTCCTAGAAGAGGATTTTTATTTGCTAATATTTTGATTAAGGTTTTGGAATTGGATTTATGGATGAGATTGGTCCTTGACATTTTCAGGGTAAAGGTGTCTTATGAACAACATGTTGGATTCTGTCTTGTTTGTTAAGGCTGTTATAATAATAAAAATGCCAGAAAGTGGATGGCATATAAACAAGAGAAATTTATTTCTCAAAGTTTAAAGGCTGAAAGTCTGAGGTCAGATGCCAGCATGGTTGGGCTCTGGTGAAAGCCCACTTCACACTGCGGACTTCTCACCTAGTCCCCACATGGTGGAAGGGCAGCTCTCTGAGGCCTCTTTTTTAAGGCCATTAATCCCATCCATGAAAGGCTGGCCCTCGTGACCCAATCACCTCCCCAAAGCTCCACCTACCAACGCCATCAACTAGAGCCGTGGTCGGCAAACTGCGGTTCTCGAGCCACACGCGGCTCTTTGGCCCCTTGACTGTGGCTCTTCCACAAAATACCACGGCCTAGGCGAGTCTATTTTGAAGAAGTAGAGTTAGAAGAAGTTTAAGTTTAAAAAATTTGGCTCTCAAAAGAAATTTCAATTGTATTGTTGATATTTGGCTCTGTTGATTAGTAAATTTGCCGACCACTGAACTAGGGGATAGGACTTCAACATACGGATTTTGCCAGGAGGTAGAAGGGGAACAACACAGACCATAGCAGATTCCTTTTTTGCAGTCTAAAGGTTTTCCAGAAGTTATATCTTGTTACATTTTTCCTGTTTGCTATTGGTCAACTTTTCTATTAAACATTTTATTTGCTTAATAGCAAATAAAGATTTGTTACTATATAGTGACTCTGCTTGAATGTTTCTGTCAAATTCAACTTGAAAGTGCTTAGATTTAAACAAATAGTTCTTTATTCATTAAAGTTTTCTTAAGAATATTTTTGACTTAATTCTCTTTTCTCAGCTTCCCATTCATCAGTAATTTATCCTAATGTTCTGGCATTCTTTTCCCCCTCATTACATTATTACTACATACATTTATTTATGCCAATTATCTGCTTAGACGAAATTGTTTATTCACTTTTAAACTAGTATATCCAAGTTATATCTGTCCTTTTTATTAGCAAGGTGCCCATTTATAAATTTTGAAAAGAATTTGACATAAAATCCATCTTTTCAGTACATTTATACAAGACCCATTTCAGAAAAACAGGCCCATAAGCTCCACAATAATGTTTGAAAGGGCAGGTTGTTAGCCAAGACAGCAGGTAGGGAGGGGAATCCCCCCAAAAACCAGCTTATAAGAGCAAAATATACTAAATTTCAAGATAGTAAGAACTATTGAAAAACAAAACAAAATTCAGGGAAGGAAAATTGTTTAAGCTTTTGTTCTTGAAAATTTAAAGAAAATGTTTCAAGAGTAAATGTTCTGGAACAGACCGTTGTGGTTATTCACTGTACTCAGTGCCAGTTGTATTGTCTTTCTCCTATCCCTGCCTTCTAAGAGACTTTGTTTTGTTAACCAAAATTTTCAGGAATGTAACCAGTTGCATCCCTACCTGCACTGCTTGGAAAGGGATTATCAAACCCTCTCCCTGTTATTTTCTAAGGAGATACTTATTTTCTTGGAAAATAGGGAGCTGCTCTTCCTCTCTTTTTTCAGAAAATATATTCCCTTCTTAGACTATAGAAAAATGAAAATAGCACTTTAATAAAATAAAGTTAATACTCCTAGTTTAAGAAAACTGGCTTTTCAGAAGAATTCAAGAAGATAAAACTACTTGTAAAACAGTAGATTATGATGACCTGAGGGTGCCTTTTCTTTTTCTTAGGGGAGTTTCCAGTCCTAGTTGAGTGTGTAATTTTTTTTTAGTTACAGATTACAAAAAGCAAAATTTTCTATTTATAGTCAAATGCTTAATATTGTTACATTTTATCTTTTTTAAAAAAGTGTTGATTTTTAGAGAAGGGAAGGGAGATGGGTAGAGAGAAACACCAGTAGGCTGCATCAGCTCTCCCTATTGAGCCCACAACCTGGGCAAGTGCCCTGACCAGGAATCAAACCTGCGACCTCTTGGTTCCTGGGTCGATGCTCAACTGCTAAGGCACACCGGCTGGGCATTCAGTCTTAGGAAGAAACTCTTCAATATTAACCACAAACAGGCTTATTTAATTTTGATTCAGTAACATTTTATATATACATTTTGAAACCCGTGCCTGCTATTTTAAGATACAAAATGTGTGGTATATGAGCATACCTCATATGCTTATGTTTGGAATTACTTTTTCATTGTCTTTTAAAAAATGTATATATGGCAGTAGGCTTGTATTTGTGAATGTGCATGTTTGTCTTTTGGAGTTAATTATGGCTCTATCTAAACTTTCTGCTGTTCAGTTAGATAAAAGACTAATGGATATATATGTATATTTATTATAGGTGTCCCATTTCCCAAAAACTTTATGTCTGTGGCAAAGACCATCCTAAAGCGTCTATTCAGGGTTTATGCCCACATTTATCACCAGCACTTTGATTCTGTGATGCAGCTGCAAGAGGAGGCTCACCTCAATACCTCCTTCAAGCACTTTATTTTCTTTGTTCAGGTAAGTTGAACCACGTTGACTTTTGTGTTCTTCGACTTGAACATACTTGGTTTGGTAACTTTAATAAAGAATAATTTATAGAGTTTTATTTATAGATGCAGAGCTAAGAGTAAGCAGTGTTCTCTTTTCTACATTATTTCATTGATGTGTGTAGCAGCATAGAAAGCATCATCTCCATTCTGGGTTTCCTGCCTCTGGCTGCCCAGGTCTCTGGTTAGGCTATCACAAGGAGCACCAAAAACATCAAGTTGGGTTGTTTCATGAGATGTTTATGCCTGGAAGAGAAATATTTAGAAGAATCTGTTACATGTTATCTTAGGTTCAGTGTCTAGAAGTCCCACATAAGGCCAAATGTTATGAAGTTTTAGCAGCTAGAATCTTTAAAAATCAAAATAATCACATTGTTTGAAAAATATGTGGAAAAATTGGGACTTAGTCTTGCTTTAGAAATATATAATTCTGTATGCAAAATACAAATGTCTAGAAATTTTTTTGGTGGAAAACTCAGAAGCTTTATAATAGACTTCTCTTTGGGACGATCAATGGCATAAGTTCCCCCTTCCCCCGAAAGATTGCCCAGCAGAGGGAGGCCGACGCTCCCCCCACCCCCAATGATTGCCCCACCGGCCAGTGGCCTGGGCCTCCCTCTTTGGGACCCCCCCAACTAATCGTATCACACCTGCCTTGGCTGGCCTGGCACCAGTGCATGTCATAGTGTAGTCGTCTGGACAGTCGTTCTGCTGTTCAGCTGTTTGGTCAATTTGCGTATTACAATATTATATATCACACAAAGGATAATGTACTATGCTCTTTATATTCTGGGGTTGTATGGCATATAGAATCCTATCTAATAAAAAAGAAGCATGCAAATTGACTGTACCGCCACTATGCCCACCAGCCAATCAGAAATGAGTATGCAAATTAACCCAACAAATATGGTGGCAGCCACAGAGCTGGAGAGAACAGGAGGCTTGGGTTGCCCCTGGTGATGGAGGAAGCCAAACTTTTTGCCCGACCTGGCCTCTGCCCAAGGCTACAAAGTTTCAATTAGATAAGTAAATCCCAGATATCAGGGCCTCCACTTGGGTTGCCGGGGAGCATGGCTGGCCTGCAAATCACTACAGGCCACTCATCCCGGCCACCCCATGCCTCTCACTCCAAGGGAACCTCCACCATGATCCGGAACAAACCAGGGCAAACCAGCAGGTCCCACCCATGCACCAGGCCTCTATTCTATCTAATAAAAGAGTAATATGCAAATTGACCATCACTCCAACATAAGATGGCTGCCTCCATGTGGATACAAGATGGCCAGCAGGGGAGGGCAGTTGTGGGTGATCAGGCCAGGAGCGGAGAGCAGTTGAGGGCAATCAGGCTGGCAGGGAAGCAGTTAGGCATTAATCAGGCTGGCAGGGGAATGATTAGGGGGTGATCAGGCTGGCTGGTAGGCAGAAGCCATTAGGAGCAATCAGGAAAGCAGGCAGGCGAGCAGTTGGGAACCAGCAGTCCTGGATTGTGATAGGGATGTCTGACTGCCCTTTAGATAGGATCCGGCCTAAATGGGCAGTCGGACATCCCTCAAGGGTCCCAGATTGGAGAGAGTACAGGCTGGGCGATCACAGAGCCTCTCTCCCCTCCCCCACAGATTTTATGCTCCGGGCCTCTAGTCTATAATAAGAGTGTAACATGCAAATGACCAAACAGTAGAACCACCATCCGAATGACCACACTATGACATGCAATAGTGACAGGCCAGCCAAGATGGGTGTGTTGTTATTGGTCAGGGGGGCACCCGCCATTGTCCCATGATTTCCTCACAGAAGGAGGCCCGCAGGGTAGGGGACGCACGTTCTGTGATCTCCCCAAAGAGGGAGGCCCAGGCAGGTGGGCTCGGGCTGCAGTGGATGGGTGGGGCCTCCCTCCCTGGAGCTATTGGTCTTGGAGCCCTGTGATTGATCGCCCCAAAGAGAGGAGGCTCAGACTACCAGGCCGGTGGCACTGCATCGGTGGACAGGGCCTCCTTCTGCGGGGCGATTGATCACCGGGCTGCAAGAGGATGCAGGCCAGGCTGAGGGACACCCCCCCCCCAGTGCACAAATTTTGTGCACCAGGCCTTAGTATAACTATGAAAAGGTCTGCTGCCCCTGGCGTGACCACTAGCAAAGGTTCAGCGTAAAGTTTTCAGATAATTCCTATGTAAATGTGAACACAATTTTAATTTCAATGTTTTACCCAGTGAGCATCATGTTGTTATAATTGCTTGTTTAGTAAGCTCTCCGTATTTTAAAAAGGAGTAAAAATTATTGTATTTTAAAATGTTCAGAGATCATTTCATTATTTCAATTTCAGAAAACTAGTGTTGGGAATACTTTCTCTGAATGACATTTACAGAGTTTTAATTTTAGATTTATTTTTAAATTTTATTTTTCTTCTCTTTTTAGGAGTTTAATCTGATTGATAGGCGTGAGTTGGCACCTCTTCAGGAATTAATTGAGAAGCTTGGATCAAAAGACAGATAAATGTTTCTTCTAGTACACGATTACCCTCTTGCTTCATCTACTGCTAGAGCTATCTCATTACTATCTGTTATCGACTAGTGATACAAACTTTAAGAAACAGGATAAAAAGACAACTATTGTCTCTGCTGATAAAATTGTCCCAAAGGTAGGTTGGCCTAATACCTTCCGAGTGAGAAATTCAGGACACAGCCAGATTTGAGGCACTATGTCATCACACTTATTGTCACCTGGTCACATTTTTAATGTGATGTTTAATCTGTAGTTTATCAGTTTACATATTCTTTTACTAAAGAAAATGACTTAGTTTGTTTTAGGTTATAGCAGAATGGATATTAAAAATTTGGACCAATAATTTATTAACAAGTTTCCACCACAAATTTGTTAATATCTCAGTCAGATAGGTTTTATTCTGCTTATAAAAGGTGTTTTTTTTTGTTTTTGTTTTTTTTTTTTTAAGTTTCCTTAAGGTTTAGAACAATTTGTCATTTTGGATAAACATGTTGTTTGAAGTTATATACTAGTGTTTTTATAGATAGTACGTAATATGTGTATTTTTTTCAAAATCCATGATTGCCATTTAAATCATATGACATATGTGAGAGTAACCAAAGTTATTTCTAAAATGACTTTGCTTTTTAATCTTAATTTGGATTTTATTCACATATGAACCTCAATGTTTAGTAGTGTGTGCATATTAGAAATAATTGTTTTAAGGCATCTAAGGTGGTCTTGTAGATTTTTTTTTTTTTAAATGCTTTGTTCAGATTAATTTGAATATATAGCTTTTGGCTGATAAAAAGAAAACTTCCAAAAAATTAAGACAGATTTAGGCCTCAAATCACTATTTTCATTCATGTTGTCTTTCAGAAGGCTTTGAAATTCTGGATAGGATGGAAAATACTCATTACTTTATTGTTTTGAATTTCCTTTTTTAAAAATGAATTGTGTGTTTGGGTTGTTTTTGTGTGTGTGGCTTGAGACTTAATAAAGAATACTATAGAAATGCATCAACTTTATCACAATAAGGATAAAATTTAAGGAAATCACACACACAAAAAAAAATCTTGAAAGATGTACACATTTTATATCAGTTATAAGTTTGATGTTTCCTATTCTTGTGTTTGTGTGTTTAAAGGAGACAGCATGGGAGGAATAAGAAAAATAGCTCTTCATTCTGTTAATAGTTGAAGGATGGATTGAGCTGCCCAGGGTTTTTAAAAATATATATATTTTATTGATTTTTTACAGAGAGGAAGGGAGAGAGATAAGAGAGCTAGAAACATCGATCAGCTGCCTCTTGTACACCCCCTACCGGGGATGTGCCCGCAACCAATGTACATGCCCTTGACTGGAATCGAACCCGGGACCTTTCAGTCTGCAGACTGACGCTCTACCACTGAGCCAAACTGGCTTCGGCTCCCCTGGGGGTTTGTCCTGTGTTAATTATTGTATCAAAACCTGAATTTATTCTACTTCTATTCAGATAAAAAGGATCTTCCCTTGAATGAAGAAAATATCTGATTTTCATTAGGCTTCTAGGATTTCATGAATTCTGACGGTTTAAGTGTATTGAGGCACAAATATATTAAAGACTTGCTAGACAGCAGCCACTTTAAGTTCGCCAGCATTCTGTTTCAAAGTTGTGACTTTTGCAAAGTACTCACCACCTTCTTGATGGTTTTGGCATAGGTTAGCTTTGATAGTTCTTTTGTGTTGGTTTTTTTTGTTTGTTTGTTATTTATTTCTATTATTCCACTAGAGTATAAGGAAGAGAATTACTTAGAAACTGTTTTTATAATAACTCAACTTCAATGAATTATTAAATATATTCAGGATTTTAAAGGAAACAAAACAATTTATCTAATTAGACTGAAACTGTACCTCATTGTTTTAGGAATTAAAGAGTGGGATAATCACTATGAAAAAAAAGAAAAGCCCTCTATGAGACATTCCATGGTCCACATTTTAAATTTATTCAAAGGCCCCTGTCAGGCTATATATATGTTTATGTTGATCCTTTACAAACAAGAGGGCAGGTTACTGGATACCACTGAGAATGTTACTGCCTCTCAACTTTAAACCTTATTGGCTTTAAGTCTGCAAGGAATAAAGTTAGATTTTTCAACTAGGTTTGCACTTGCATCATCATTTCTAATATTTCAGATATTCTCAAACAAAAGGGTTCTTGATTTTCACCATCTATTTTCCGTGATAGAAATCCTCCCTCTCTTAAACTCAGCCCAAAATTAACCAAAGACTAACGTTAGAATAAGGAGTAAAGGCAGCGTACTAGTACACAAATAAAATTGTTGGTAATTTGAGATTCAGAATGGCCTTTTTAAAAATAAAAACATTACCAGGTTCCCATACTAATCTGGTTTAGTCAGCAATGCATTCAAACATCAGTGTTAACATTACTTGTTTATATCCAAGGCCAGGGAGTTGAAGGCAGGATAATTGGAGGAATGGGGGGAGGATGGCCCATTCTTGATTTGGCTAAGGGGCCAACTTCTGGTAACAGTTGTTTGACTTATCTCTCTGTGCCCAGCATATGCCTGATGGACAACACTCCCTACCCTGACCCCTCCCGATCACAAGCCATCTCCTGTCAAAGTGACCCACTCATACCTGATAACAATCATGGGGTGAAGGGGGAGTGTTTTATAATATGCAGTTAATCCTTTGGTGCTTTTGTTTTCAGGCCTTTAAGAAAATGTGCAGATTTTTATTTAAATATTGAAATTTCCTTGTACTAGTTTTTGTATTGACAGCCAAATGAATCTTTTATTCTTCTCTAGACTGAATAAAGTGATTTTAGAGGGCTTCCAGCCCTTGGCTCATGTAGCTGCCTGCTCAAGAAATGCAAATCTGTAGTCATCATGACTCTGATCTCTGATAATAAAAAAAAAAAAAAGGAAAGTTTTCCTAGTCATGTGAGGCAAGAGGAGCAATCCTGGTGCTGATTTTAACTTCTGCAAACTTTGTTGAGGTTTCCTGATTATACTGTTGGCCTTTTCTCTGAGCAGTGAGGTTATACTAGAAGTAGAGCTTCGGAGAAACGTTATTGCCTCACAAGCATAAACAAATCAGGCCCATAGAATACAAGTCCTAGAAGTTTTAGAAGCAGCCCCAGTCACAGCGTGGTGGTGCCGCTGTGTGGTGGTGGAGGCCGTCTGCTGTCTGTAGAACTCCAGCCTAAAATACGCTGGCCTGGGACACCAATCTGAGCATCTTCAACAGGGACATTATATCCTCCTGATATTTGTTCAATAAGTGGATTTACTATTTATTGTAGAATTCTGGCCAAGAGGGAAAATGGTAGTTCCTCAGTCTTCCTGTATTTTTGCATTGAATTCAGCCTATAAAAGCTTTTTGGGGATATTACATGTGATTGTAATTTTACTGAAGCAATTGCATTGAGATTCACTTGGGTTTTCCCCTCATCAAATTGTATTCCAAACAAGTATTCTGTAAATCCAAATAGACTGCTGATTTATTATGTTTGGTCTACATAAAAAATAGCTTGTATAAGTTAGTTTTGGTTACCATCTAAAACATTTTTAAATGTTCTTTACATGAAATCTTACGTTGTATTTTTAAATCTTTAGGGGCTTTATCTATTTTTCTAAGTCAGTTAAGTGTACTTTAAAAAAAGTAATTTGTATCTACTTTTGTAACTTCATCAGAATAAAATATATTGAAAGAAAGAAATGACTCAGGTATGTGTCTCAACACTTATTTGTGAAATTTGAGAATTTTTGCAGCCTCTGCTGAAGATTGTCTTTGCTTTTCATTTAGTAGCTAAAATGTTTTCTTAACTCTTAGAAGAAAGGGTACTGTGTCTAAAGTACATCCCAGAGAGAAAAAAACAAGTAGTTTCCTTTCTACTTTGCTAACCCAGATCTACATTCCTGGCTATGAGATTGAGAAAAGGGAGTAGGAGAGACTGGACTTCTTAATTTTCTGACCTTGAAATTGAGTACTCAGCATTATCTAAAAGACACCCCCACCTCAGCCATTTTTCATTATTACAAGAGAATATTATTTTTAGAGATCCAAATTATAGATACTTAATTTTAGGTCCAGTCAAAATAGTAGTGCTAGAATTGTTTTGACCTTTGATGAGTAAAGTTAATAACTTCAATGAATGTGAAATAAAAATTTAATGACTGTGGCTAAATACTGGTAGGTAAGTTTTAGAATTTTTGGACAGTTATATTTTATTAGGCTTAAAATTGACTAAAAATATTAAATATCTAATGGCTAAATTTGAAAGCTGTTTCAAACTTTATAAATGAACTAGAGGCCCAGTGCACAAAATTTGTGCATGGGAGGGGGGGCTCTCAGCCCGACCTGCACCCTCTCTAAGCAGGCCGTGCTTTCTGCTGGGCCCACTTGCCTGCTTCCCACCAGCGGGACTGAAAGGACTGGGGGACTCTAGCAGAGGCAATTGGTGCAACCAGACCTGCCTGGAGGCGATCCAGCTGCACTGCCCACCTGCTGCTCCCCAGGACTGGGGGATTCCGGCAGGGCTAAGGGGACTGGGTGCTACCATCTTGTGGCTATGAGCGCCACCATATATGTGATGGAGTGGTCAATTTGCATATTCCCTCTTTATTAAGAGGATCCTAGAATAAACCAGATAATCTTTGGCCAGAGTCACTCTTCAAAGTTGCACTGTCAGAAACAATGTCCAAAACACGCCTTAGGCCTTGTCTATCAAATATTATACTTAATTGCTATCTGGCTAGGTATGGACCCCTCAACCTGCATCTTTACCACTAACCACCAGATGTCAGTCTCTGAGCTCCCAAAAGCTAGGTGTGTGTGTGTCCTGACCAGATAAAGAATTTTAGTGGGGAGAACCAAGATGGTGCTTCTGTAAACTCCTGTATCTGCCACCTCCCACAACCACATCGAGATTACAACTAACATACAGAATAACCATCATTCAGAGCTGCTTGAAAGCTGTCTGAATGGAAGTCCTACAACTAGAGAAG